CAGGCTCGAACCTCCCCGCGACCATACCCTAGTCGCGAAAATTTGTCACGAGCACGGTGAGCGCGTCTGTCACCGTCCGCAGCTTGGGAAGGGTCGACACAGGTCCACTGAGCTGACCCATCAAACGCATCAAGATTGAGTCATTGGTAAGCCATGGTTACGTTAGCATCCGACCAGGTCAAAGGTCCTGAGGTCGCGAGGCCTACCAACTTTTATCACCTGGCGCCTTCATCCTGAGCTTGGTCCGCATGGACATGGCGATCGTATTTTTTCGTAGTTTGTGAAGTTTTCTTGTTTTTCGGTGACCATAGTCTATCAGTTTTCACCTTCGACTTAAAGTCCACTGATATCCGAGCCGATCCATCGAAACTAAACACAAGAGACTTCTGTCCTTTTTCACGGTAGGCCACATCATACTTATAGTATACTTCGGCTGTTTCTGCGCAGCAATCGCAATCAACATTTCATCCACCTTATCCCGAGGCGTTATGCTTGCAGCCAGGGTACCGAGTATCTCAGCTTCCCCCTTTCTATATTTGCTGACCTCTATTGTCCAAGTTGATAATAGCGCGACCCGCATCTGCCTAGCCTCCCTTCAAGACCAGAAGATTGCACTAGCCGCGTTAATGTTGAGTTCCGAGTGAATGCCTTGATCACACGTGAGATTTGCATAGTAAAGCTTATATCCAATAAACGGAGAAAAGCTAAGACCTCTTTTTCGACCATTCCATCATTACACTACAGTGTACGAATCGTAAACATATCCGGACAATATACGCCATTCTTTTCCTGTAGCAACGCTGCTGATACTGCCCACTTGCTGGAATATATTACAATATATTGGCTTTTGGTCCGAAATAATTTTTTTAAGATGGGGGTAGCCGCGATTTTGACTTTCAGCATAGGGAATGCAATCATTGCTTTCTCCCAGCGACCTTCTATCCTCCGGATCGCAATCACCGCCAGTATCGGGATCCTCACAACATTGGATGACCACGATCTAGGTCGTTCTCGTCTTTAGAAATCGATGTCTTCTCACTAGGATAGCGACTAATTTCGCAATAATCTGCTTCCCTCAGCTCGTATAGCACGCATGCGTAAATTGCAAGGTATTCAATAAACCTGCTGTAGTATTTAAGACTCTCTAAAAACGACTGCATTTGTCGCAGTGTTCGAGGGAATAGGATATTCACCGGCGATTCCAGATCCCTCGGATGAGCTTCCAAACCGTCCAGTGGCACCTGATGACCGAGATAATCTACTTTCCTTCGTTCCTAAAAACGTTTAGCCAGGCTGATCGATAAATTTCTACTTATTGCATACATCTCGTAAAAATTCTCGACCTTTTCTCATAAAGAGAGATCCACGATGTAGCGGGAATCAAAATGTTTTCTATATACGAACGACGACCCAACACAAATCATTTTTGTTCTATTATAGGCTTGCCATCCGTAAAGGTATCGATGAGCTCCGACTTTTAATTCGTGTAGATTTTAAGTTCGTATATAATCTTCAGATATTCATACTCAGCGTTATCTATTTAACGCTGATAGATTCGCGGAGCATTCTTTATCCCGGAAAGCATTCGTAACCACTAAACAGACCGGAAGGGGTAATAAGCGCCGAGATCATTCTCGCTCGCTCCGTCGTTTTCTAAAACTCGGAACCCACTTGCCATGTCTAAGGAACAATACCTTGTCTTTGACTTGGAAAAGCTCGCGGATTAGCAGCATAGGGTATATCATTAATCTTGTTAGCTGGTTCACCCTTCAGGAATCAATACACAATCTGATATCGATGCCGTTTTTGTTAATGATTACCACGATCGGCGATGCCCATTGAGAAGTTGACGGTCGATGATATTAGCTGATAATAAAGCTTTGATCAAATCTGCTAACTTCTCCCAAAATGAGGCGCCACCGGTCTAACGTTGAGTGATCGGGGCCGCTCCACCGACATCGATATCACAAACTTCACCATACGTGACAGAAGGTAGTGCATTACTTTGTCAATTATAAGGTGGCGGTGCCTCTTGATCAGCTGTCGCAAGTGTTTGATACTCGGTCAGTGGAATATCTTGATCGCCTACTTGAACATCATCAATAGTAATCTCCATCGTAGGCGTCATGGTTTCGGTTAGGATCGCCATGTGTTAATCCAAATATCCCGCATAAAATTTGCCACCTTCATAAAAACAATCTGGTTCATGGGTCTTTTTCTTTTCTGCTGAGATTTCTTCCGTAGTGATCGAAGTTGACATATTGACCGGTGGATCGCACTGTTTTTGAGGATAATTTTCTACGTTCTGCACTTCGCCGTGTATTACGCTTAACATTGGTGTAGTGGCTGTATAATCCGATTACTCCGAAGCTTAATTGATGTCCCCACTTCCTTTGGTCACGTTGATCACAATTTGTGCTTTCGGTGATTCTGGATCCTCACACTCATAACCATGTTTTTCCTTCCTAACCACGTCCTCATCGACTAGCGATGCAGCTTCCGCCGACTTGTAGTCCTTCTTATAACACATTTATTGGGCGACTTAACATCTTCGTCGGTGTAGAATAGTGCGGATGATCGAAGAGCAATCCAGTCTCATTATCCAACATTTTTTACTTTTTATCCAGGGTAGCTTTAAACGCAAGTGTTTGCCTTTCATTGTAGCGCCGCAATACAATTAAACACAACCTGTAGATTGCAGCATCATACCCAATGACGATCCATGTTGGAGTATCACCCTTCGCTCACTGACGTTCGTCAGGTGCAGATATTGAGTTCTGCCGGGTCCTTTTGTGACAGTAATTCGGGATCGCGCCTTACCAAAAGCTTATCCTTGGGTGAGCCAATACCGATTCTAACTTCTGCCGATCCTCCCAGGGGGATAATACTGCTGATCGTTCACATTAACCACGTGCATAGTGAATCGTGACGGTTCTTCGTCCTGCCAGATTAATTCTGACTTCATCCGGCAAACAAAGTGTTCCATCTGCCAGATCCAAACGCATTCCAGCTGGAACCACGAAATCCATACCTAGGATCGCCTCTTGGCCGACCTGATAGCCAACCTAAGCATCAATTTATTACACTAGCGATCCATTCAACATGATCTTTATTTTATTGCGTCCCTCTGTCATATACATGCTCTCACCAATTCCCACACATTCCTGCTTCTGACTTTCGTCTGTAGCACATCCCACCTTACGAGCAAAGGCTGTGTCACCGATCGAGACTTCAGCTCCCAAGTCAAATCAACAAAGTGGCACTCTAATTGGTGATCCATCCAACGACTTTGGCCTGATTAAACCATTTGTTTGAGGTGTGATATTTGTAATATTCACGTAACTCACCCGGCGCCAGATCGAGCTTCATTTTTGTGTGTGACCATGAATATTATTCAACTATTTTAAACTTGACATTGAGCGTTGAAATATAAAAAACAAATGTATTGACGATTGGGTCATTCAGACTATTAGCTTTTATTCGATTTTTTTTCAATGATTGCATAAATGCATAGCTTAGAACGCTCGGCTTGTACTAGATTCCAACCTGGCGAGCGTCATAGTTTAATATATCCTCCACTTCGGTGGAAACAACCCATAATGCTTAGTCGGGACATACCACTTGTGGATCATGTTAAAGGACTTTTCCATAGGGCATTTTCAACCTCATGTACTTCTTCACAGCTGCACACGTAAAACACTTATCTGACGGATGCCCACTTTTGGCACGTGAGAAGTTTCCTGCATCCACGATCGCCATCTTTTGTCGATACACAATGCGTTTATGGTTTCACCGTAGCAGATCGATCACTACAAGAGCTGGATCGGGTCCTCGATCGAGTCGATGGATTGCTTTTTTGGAGTGCGATCACAAGTTTTACAGTATCCAATGGACGTTGATCTGGATCGGGCTCCGATCCACTGATAATTGACTCGGACTCGCTGCTACTACTTTCCATTCGATCCACTCGAATTGATTTTGGGTCTAGATGACGTCTGCCAGATATCGTTACATCTCTCTGTCGATATTAATTCGATCCCACGGAGGCTTTTTGCTGCTGAATATTCGCACGCTGCAATGCACGCAAAAAATCCTTCAGATCGTTAGCATCCTAGAGTCGTATCATCGTGAGCTGTTTGGTAAGATCGCGATCATGTAAAGTATGAATATAACGTTCCACGTGTCTATGCCACACGTGTTTATGTCAAATGAGCGATACATTCTTAGCTGGGATTTTTGCACGCATGCCTGCCATATTCAGCCGATACAAATATTCCAACGGAATTTCATCTGATCTTTTCCACGCGTGATAGTACTGACTTCCGACGGTGCACCTTGTCCACAACATTGGGGCATGAACCTTCCAATAGAGATTCCCACGAATTGCAAGTCCAATCGACTCATCTGGCTACCAATTACAGGCGCATCCCGCGAGCAGATCGCCAAACACCAAATATTTATAATAATCTGGAGCTTGATCCCGTAGAAAAGCATATTTAGCACTGCTAATCCATCCCCTTTTTTATCGTAGCCAAAATATTTTGATGCTCGGTAATCGCAGTTACCCGAATCCGTTAAAATCAAGATCCACCATCGATGATCGCCTCTGCAGTTGCGACTGGTGGACGTAGCAGTTCATCAATACTAGTCTGGACCATACTGGTGCGATCCAGTATAACTCGATCCAGTATGACACAACCTCACAGACTCCATTTCAACATCAGGGAGCATTTCTCCCTGGGACTTGATCGCATTGCTTGATTAACCTCTTAATCCGTGATCCGCTGCTCTGTGACAAAATTCTCCATTTCGACATCGAAAATTGACTGAAGTTGGCCTGATCCAAACACATTTAAAGTTTTAAACTTTATCGTAGGCAAATTAACTTCTGCCTCGATCCATCCCGTTTTTCCCACGGGACAGAGCGGTACCAGTTGGTCCCAATAAGTTATGCTAGATACCGATCGAGTGATTTGAACCAATGTCGGATGCGCCGAAGATTACTGTGAAGATCCAGCATTATATTCCTTGGGCATGTTGTCAGCCGATTCGATCGCAGTCTCTTCTTTGACTTTTCCCACAAGAGGTGCTAGCTTCTCGAACAAGGCACTCTTGACCGCGTTGATGAAATCCATCTCATGATCCAATACTTCATCGGCATCAAATAGGCTTGCAACGATGTCGGCATTTTTCAACAAGTTTATCCATGACTTGACTGCGTCAAGAGCATTAATAGATCGTGGCATTATACCGGTCCTTGCAGTGATCGGATTAGTTTCAGATGTAATGACACCAAAATAAATTATTGAACAAGAGTTTTTTCAACTCGTTACGATAAAAGCCCAACTTTCATTGGATCATCTGCCATATTTTTTCGCAAACATTGCAACTGTTACAATCGTCGGCAGAAAATTCACGATCCACATTTATTCATTCACGAAAAGCGTCCAAATCCATCAATTATATCACTAGACAATCGCGATCCACGATAACTTTAATCGCAGGTTCAATTTTTACCTTGTTATCTTCATCATGGGACTCAAAATGATATCCCGAGTCACCAAGGCCGGGATCGCGCACCATTGTGGTGAAGTGGTGATCGCATCTTTCTTACGCTCCCAGATTCACGCACTGGCGCCCCGGCAATCGACTAACGGAGGGAATACTCCGATACCGTGTGGAAACTACTTCCTCACTTTGTGTACCAAACGATGGGCGGTTGCACTCGTCCAGGTTGCCTTTGAGACGATGTCGGTCTTGATGTGTTTGAAAAGGTCTTCAACCACGCGGATATCTTCACGCGGTCGATAGAACTTGGCAGTGGACTAGAAAGTAGTCGCTGCGATCTACTTCTAGATCGCCCTTATCCCGATGTGTAGATCTTCTAACAACTTGAGCCGTCCGTTGATCTTACCTTGATGTTGTTGCTGCGTCCAATTGCAGGGTCTCGAGTTTTGAGAGTCCGTGACCCTGGGCACACAATGCACGTTCAATCTCAGTCGAACGCGCGAGGTGTTTTTAGACGTTGGGGGCCAATTATCCCACCCGGTAGAGAAGGCAACGTCAGAAATTAAACTCGGTATTATATTAACCAATCAAAAGTCAAAAACCGATGACTATTCCTTCCTATCTAATAAGATATGCGATATTCAACCAAACGTATTCAAAAGATTGTACCTTTTTAGAGTAGTCCACACCGATGTCACGTGTCGTTAGCTCCTTCATCGTCTCTTTGTATTGTCTGGTCCACACCGATGCCACCGCCAGTTATTCCTTGAGCGTCCTGTTGTGTTGTGTGGTCCACCGTTGCTGTATCTATGTAGCGATCAAGGTTACGAATCGCGATCAGAACCTACATAGCGGTAGCAATGCATGTAGTGACAGCGATCCACGTAGTGGCAGCGATCCACGTAGTGACAGCGATCCACGCAGTGATAGCGATGCACGTAGTGGTAGCGATCCACGTAGCTATCGGGGTCCCCGTATTGATCTATGTCGCTATCCGGATCTGGATTGCGGTCACTGTGTTTTCTACACACAATATGTGTATAACACCAGCGATATCATCTTTTTGACCTTTTCACTGAGATATCCGTTCTATGCAAACGTTTTGATAACTCCTCGCGCTCCCATAACGCTACCCCCCTGCCACATCAGGGATTATTAAGGGAGAGATAGCCGAAGGCTTGGCTGATATCAATCCTGTTTGGCCTACTGGCAATACCTCATGCTGGTCGTTATTGTGATCGCTTGCATACTGGATCGATATGGTGGCTTTCGACCTGCCGCACTGGTCTGATTTCATCTGATAAACAAAAGTGTTCCGTCGACCAATTCCAGTCGAATTTCTGCAGATACCAGAAATTTCATGCCCAAGATCGCCTATTGACCTACTTGATTACCAGCCCAAGCATCAAAATTGTATACCAGCGATTCATCCAGAGTGTTGTTGATCTTGGTACGTCCTTCGGCCATGTACTTTCTCTCGCCGATCCCCACACACTCTTGCTTCCGAATGTACCAAAGGTACAAAGGGTCGCATCGTGGCAGAGAGCCATGCGATCATTATAATTAGTTTACGCATTATAAATAAACATGTATGCATATTAATGGGCTACAGAGCCAGATAAATAGTGACAAGCACTAAGAACAGGTTTGTGTTTCTATATTTAGTGCTCGTAGATAAACATTGAATAAACCACTTATAAACCTGCTCTGAATAGCACAAGTGCTCGAGCCTTAGTCCTTGAAGAAAGGAAGTTGTATCTTAAGTACAGATCTCTTGAAGACGGGGTTATTTACAACCAAAAGGCGGAAGCTTATAAGCTAGCCTTGAGAGGGTTAAAAAGCTGTAAGACACACAGCTCTTGAAGCTAGTCTTCCTCTGCACTTGGTGCAGAAGTAGCTATGCTACAGTAGCTCTGCTACACCTGAAAGCACTTTTAGTCAATACCGCACCTGGGTTTGCGACTACTTTTCTGTGATAAGTTTTAGACATTGAAGAGATGTCCGCGGTGTTAAGATTAGGTGGTGCGATATTCATATGAATTTAAGGACGTCACTGCTCCAATCATTGCCGGAACAGTATAGAAGCACATGTGGTGGAGTGGGCTCTCACAAATGCGTAATGAGACTTGAAGCCACTCACTGTGCCGGAGAACCGACAGACGGAGGTACCCCTATGCCGCGTATGAACCTTCTCTCACCTTGTGTACCCGTCGGCTGGTGGGTTGCACTTGTTGGGACAACAATTGACACAGCACTGACCAAAGCGGTCTTGGCCAGTTTAGTGCCGTGGTAAGACAATATGTTATGAGCCTAAAATGACGCGAGTTCAATTACCCCCGGGTGCCAAAAGTCGATGTCTCGATGGAAGCCGACCAGAAGAATCAGAAAGAAGTGCCTGGGTGTCAATTGAGGGATGTGTTGGAATAACAATTGACACAGCAGTGACTAAAGTGGTCTTGACCATTTTAGTGCAGTGGTAAGACAATTGCACTCTTCGAAATACTTGGTGAAGTTGCGATGTCGGCCTGAAAATAGGTTGTTGACCTTGGGGTTGGTCAACTTGAGAGGACGAGATCTACCGATAAGAATAGACATTTGGAGACCATAGTCGACCCTGGGCTACCTAGGTCTACCGATGTGGAAGCGGGGTTGACCTCGAGGGACCGGGGTCGACCTTATGGAATCGAGGTATACCTTGAGAGACCGCAATCTTCCGATTTGGAACTGCGGACCACTCCTCTCAGTACTGGTTAGCCGGTTCACCGGTAGTGATTGTTGACCGCGAATCTTTTTGATCCAACGTTCGCGTCTCTTCTGTGGTCCCCTTTCTCTCTGATCCACAGGTCCTTGAACTCTCCACATTTTTAAAAGCAAATCACTATGGTATTTATTTAAGGGCTTAAGCCTTTGTCGTCGGTACCACCTTTGCTCGAAAGGTAGGATGCGTCAAAGGTCAGATGGTCACATCAACCTTAAAGTACAGCCATACCACAATGGTGTGACAGGTGTGTACGTAAAACACACACCTTTTGTGTACACCTATGAGCAAAATGACAATAAAGGCGCATATACGTGGTATTGTTGGTTGATTACGAAAAGCTTGGTGACTTTCCGAGTGTGGTGTATCATAATTTGCAGAAGTCGCAGTGCAGAGGATGGGAGGTGCCAGAAGTCCAAGCTTCGTGTGACCTTGCAACTATTACGGTATGTCGCAAAATTATACTCACACGAGTGTGCTATGCTGTCGGCATTTGAAAAATCAGCGATGGTGGCTTCCGTCATGCCAAATGATCGTGAACACAATATTTGCTAGCTACGTATTGTACTAAGGTTTATACCTAGCTATAGTTTAGGAATAAGTCAAAAAATGTCTATATGTGTTAGCCCAATGATTCAATTGTTAGGAATGATGGCAATCGTGCTGTGGCATATGCCTTGCACAACCACTTACTTCGACATGTCCAGCAACGAAGTTCTGACCAAGTTCCAAAGGCTCAAAACAATGTTTGGAAACGCAACAAACGGAGAGGAATGGAAAACTCAACTTGCTACGTTTGTAGACCAACACTTTGACCCACCAGGTGCAGAGTTGATACCTATCACCCCTCCAGATTATCAAGAGAAAGAAATGCCATCGCAAATTGCAGAGATTGGAAATAAAAGTCTGCGTGGTTGGGCTATGGAGCTACACAAGCTGTGGAAATTGTTAGCTCGCGTCCCTGCCTCTGTCTCAGCAGATCAAGTATCTAGGAGTTCGTTTCTCCGCTCACTTCCAATTGATGCAGCATCAAATATGTCACTGAGCGCACTAGCACGTCAGTTCAATGGAGACAACATTCTTGTTGTACCTGGTGGCCGTTTTCGTGAGAGTTACTACTGGGATTCGTACTGGATTGTTCAGGGACTACTGGTGAGCGGTTTGCATCAAACAGCTCGCGGCGTCGTGAACCACTTGCTGGAATATGTGACTGAATTTGGGTTTGTTCCCAATGGAGGACGCATCTATTATCTTACACGTTCGCAGCCGCCAATGCTCTCGGATATGGTACGACTCGTTGCAAAGCTTGACAGGCGAAATGCTTCCGATGGAGATGTCAGCGCCTGGGATCTTCCGTACTTGCGTGGTGCAGTGCCTTTGCTTGAGCGCGAATACGATTTTTGGATGCAACGCGGAGATCATGGTCATGCAGTAGAGATACCCGGATCCGACTCTTCACAATCTGCACGCGAGATGTTTGTGCTCAACCGATACGAAGCGCATGCAGATGAACCGCGACCCGAATCGTACCGTGAGGATGTTATTACAGCGTCTACGGTTATTCTCGGCAAAAATGCTACGGTGAACAAAGCTTCCATCTACAATGAAATCATCGCGGCAGCAGAAAGCGGTTGGGACTTTAGTAGTCGATGGTTCGGCGACTATTCTACACTCAAAACGATTCAGACCTCCCGAGTGATTCCTGTGGAGCTGAATTCAATTCTACACCGAGTGGAGCTTAACCTTGCAAAGTTTCATGAGATACTGGGAAACTCTGTTGCTTCGGCACGATTTCTTGATGCAGCAAAAGCTCGAATGACGGCAATGGACGCTGTGCTGTGGAGCGAGTCGGAGGAATGCTGGAAGGACTATTTGCTGGACTCCCGCGAGCAATCCAAGGTGGTGTCCGTGTCCAATTACTCGCCGCTGTGGGGAGGAGTGTTTGATTCATCCGACTCAGCGCGTTTAAACAAGATTGTGGCGTCTCTGGAAAAGTCTGGGCTCTTGCAGAAAGGTGGTGTCCAAACCACGACTTCTGTAACAGGCCAGCAATGGGATGCGCCTAATGCGTGGCCGCCAATGCAGGATATCATCATTGAAGGTCTGCTGGCAGCAGGCACTGTAAAAGCGCGCACACTTGCAAAGCACCTCGTGAAGACGTGGGTCAAGGCTGGTTTTGTGGCATGGCAAAAAACTGGTCTTATGTTTGAGAAGTACAATGCCCATCAACTGGGTGGAGTCGGTGACGGTGGCGAGTACAAGACGCAATTCGGTTTTGGTTGGTCTAATGGTGTAATTCTTACTTTCCTCACCAAGTACCTGGACCAACTAAATGAAGCCGATGAGACGGTTGGCTCTAGTATCACCCAACGTGGTGCTGCAATGTGCTAATACGAGTGGAAGTTTGATAAGTGAGATCACGTGCTGCTACGACTTGACAGAAAAGTGCATAAGTTGGTGTCAAACAAAAAACCTTTTATGCTGGCACTGCTCTCTAGTCTCTCAGCCTCCAACTATGGTTCTGGTAGTTAGGTCTAACTCGCTGGCCAGATCACCTCTTGCAGTTCATAACTGCATAATGAACTTGTGCGTTAACGTAAGAAGACACTGCTAGGAGCTTTCTAACTCAAACATTTGTATATCCGCTGCAGTCGGTCTTTTTACAACGCTATTATACTGTTCATCTACTAGAGTTGCAAGCCTCGTTTTCTATTGTATCTCACGCCGTTTTCCTCCACATATTGCACGCATATTCAACGCTTCAATCAGCTTCCTTCCTGCTTCTGCTTCACAAAGATGCAACGCACTGTAGCATAGACATACAGACGCAATATCATCCACCTTTCTCCAACACATTGTCAATGTAAGTTTCTCAATGAACTGCATCATTATCTTCCGTAAAATACTCGCACGCTTTCATCTCCAACCCACTCGCGCCTTCAGATCATAATTGGCAATCAACGCCAACTTTACAGTCGTTTCCGAGCGCCAAGACATTGATTGGAAGATGAATATGGGGTTCCTCCATTACGCATTAGGCGGCTCTGGTCGTGCTACTTTACTTCATTGAGGCAACTTTGCGCCATCGCACTACTTTCGACAACGAATGGGCGAAAATAAGGTATCGCACATAAATGAGAGTACAATCTGTAAGCTATTTTTGCACTGTTGCATTAAAATCAGTGTTGAGTACGATACAAGCCTTTTGTGTTGTATATGGATAGAAAAAACGGCTATTCAAACAAGTAATTACTTGCTTGAGAAATAAACCAGGCCAGAGTAGGCTGTCTGTAGCCTTTTACAGAACATAATCATTTATGATGTATCGTAGTTTAGAAAAAGTCCAGCAGGTCGGAGGGCCGGTGGTTTGTATTGGTAGGACAATGAAAAAGAAGCACGATAGACGACAGTCCATAATCCTTTGAAAGCATTCATCAACAGCATCATTCATTCAGGAGATCAACCGGAAGATAGAGAAAAAAGAGCAAGTATACTTCAAAGTATACACTTACCTCCCTATCTTTACTTGCTACAATAAAAAACCTCAAAACTTTTTAGCATTTTTATAAATTTGTGATTTTCCCCCAACGTGTCTCGTTTATTAAACTCTCTTGTACCCTCGCGTAATACCTACACCACACCAATGCATTTAAACCGACATCGTCATCTTAATTGCACCATGCGGGTGATAATTCCGCACTTCGAAATCTTCAAATGTAAAGTCGTCAATGCTTGCAATCTTCTCAGGATTTACGTGAAGGGTCGGGAACGGACGCGGTGTACGCGTCAGCTGTTTTATCAGTGGCTCTTCATGATTCAAATATATATGCGCATCACCGATGACATGAATGAACTCGCCAGGTTTTAGTCCGACCACCTGAGCTACTAAACGCGTTAGCAGCGCGTAGCTGGCAATGTTAAATGGCACACCTAATCCCATATCGGCCGAGCGCTGATACATCTGGCATGACAGCTCACCATTTGCCACGTAAAATTGGCAAAACATGTGGCACGGAGGTAGCGCCATCTCATTGAGATCAGCTGGATTCCAAGCTGACAGCACAATCCGGCGGTCACTGGGGTTCGTACGGAGCTTGTGGATTACCTCGGCAAGCTGATCGACGCCTTGACCGGTATAGTCGGCATGCATGTCCGTGTACTTAGCACCAAAATGACGCCATTGAAAACCATATACTGGTCCAAGATCTCCCACTTCACGTGACTGCAGTCCTCTACTGTCCAAGTATTCACGCGATCCATTGCCGTCCCAAATGTGAATATCCTTCTGCTGAAGCGCGTGAGCATTCGTATTTCCACTAATAAACCACAGCAACTCTTCGGCCACACCTCGCCAAAATACCCTCTTTGTCGTTAGCAGTGGAAAGACATTGCTCCTTAGACTGAATCTCATTTGCGCTCCAAACACTGACAGCGTCCCGGTGCCAGTTCGGTCATCACGCTTTGCTCCTTGCGTCAGAATTGTTCGAATCAGATTTAAATACTGCATCTCCTCATGTGGCGTCGTTTTATCCACCAACACTGTGGTCTCGACATCCTCCAATTCTTTATTTTTTCGCTCCCATTCCATGAATTGAAACTTTACACCATTTTCTTTGAGTATCTCTGATTCCGCAACTACTCTATAATTCTGCATCAATTGTTCTAAAGGAAAAAAAAGCATCACACTCAAACTGACCCTTCACCTTTGTCAAGTACACTTTATTACAACCTCGATACGCCAACGCCTCTGCGTACACGGCGCTTCCTCCAATGACAAACACCTGATCCACTTTCGATCCTTGTTGTTGCACGAGCTCTAGTGCCTCGTAGAAACTCGTGGCAACGCCCACATTATTCGAAACACTCTCTTTATAGCTAGTATTGCGTGTCAATACTACGTTATAGCGTTTAGGCAGAGGTCGTACTTTAGCCGGTAGTGATTCCCACGTCTTGCGCCCCATAATTACCGCATGCTGCACCGAAGAGTCACATGTTGACGTTGTCAGCTCACGAAAATGTTTCATGTCAGTTGGTAAATACCATGGGATCTGCTGATGTAAACCAATGCCACCAGTTACTTCTAACGCTGCGACCACAATTTGAACCGAACGCTCCCTCATTTGTTTATAATCTGTTTGATACCTTAACAGTTGTTGTTTGTACCACATAACGCATACTTCAATATGCCGTTGAGAATGGTTTAACTGACGATATTTGATAAGAACATACGCGAGATGATCAGTAAAACAACGTCTATATATTGCCTTTGTTTTTTTCTATACTATACTGCATGTATCGTTGACTTAAAACACCTTTTTTTTGCCTCAAAATAACGATATATCACGCGACACATACTATGTATTGTATGTAATCTGCTACTATTGACTACAACTCTGTACTTGAAGATCAATCAATGATCATTAAAAGGTATCTCAGGGAGTTTCATGCGTTTATTTCTTCCTATCGTAACGCATTGCTACGAATACTATGATGATAAAATAACGTAGATTTGCGATGCTCCGTTTCCGTGGGGGTGTCAAGTAACGTCGTCATGTAACTCGTGTACTTAATACAACCAAATGTTATCGAATAGTTTTGTAGCATCAAAGTGCTACAATGATCGGGAAGGTAGGAAAGGCAACTTCAACGGCCTCAACACAAATGGTTTCACCGTAGTTTCAGCGGTGACAGGCTCATACTGAGTGCAAGAGAGACGTGCAACCGCCGACCGTTGAAAAGTTACTCTCTGCCAGGAAGAATTCAAGGCTGCTATATACAAGGGTAAAGCAGCCACGCGCCCTTTCGTATGCATTGAAGGAGCTCATCTTTCTTTAATTGGTCAAAAGACACCTTTATTCCCACTAATAATTGGTTAAAACAAAAACAAAACCGACGAAACGTTTCACTCTTTTGATCTTGGGGAGCCGCCCGCCTTTAAAAGCACTATTTCTACTCGTAGATTGGGACATGGCACAACGCAGTCTTAAAACGTTCCTGCACTACCCAAGCCACCAAAAGTACAACGTTTATTGTAACGCAAAAGCTATTGACATGAATCGTACGATGGACCTTATGGAGATCGATGAAAGTGGAGATTCGAGCAGCTGCAGTATGACAAACAACCATAACAATCAAGCTGAAATATCGGTCATGGACGGAATTACCCACCATCCAGATGTACGTTTTTTATCTCTTTGTCTTTTGTCGGATGATTAGTTAGAAATATTTCTAATTGCAACGAGTGTTTTTTTTCTCTTTTTGTTTTGTTTCTACAGTTGAGTTACTTAAGAGCAACACCAGCCTATGGTACAAGCAGCTCTACTAGTAGCAAGTATGGGAGTCCTGAAGAATCTTTTGGCGAAGAAGATGATGACAATAACAACAACAATAACAATGATAACATCAAGAAACTAACACGACGCAAGACGGATTCAAATAGCAAACGTCCATGGACTCGAGAAGAGAATGAAAAGCTTATGCAATTGGTCAAACAGTATGGTGCAAAACGCTGGTCACTCATTGCCATGCATTTACCAGGTCGTGTGGGTAAACAGTGTCGAGAGAGATGGCACAATCATTTAAATCCTTCTGTTCGCAAGGATGCATGGACTGCTGAAGAGGATTATGTGATTTTTGAGTGTCATAAGAATGTGGGGAATCAATGGGCCGAGATCTCGAAGATGCTTCCTGGCCGAACGGATAACGCCATCAAGAATCGATATTACTCGACAATGCGTCGCATACAGAGACAATCAATCCGGAAGAAAGGACCTGTGCGTGAGGGCAAGAGCATTCGAGTGGCATCTGTGTCGTCATCGCCTGATCATAATAACAACAACCTAATGTGTTCGTCATCATTGCAACGAGCCATGAACGGTCTGCAACCTCAATTATCGTCGCACCAACAGATTGCACAACAACAGCAAGGGGTGAGTTTACATTTGAGAAGTTTTTATGCATCTTCATGAGTGTGTATTCTGGATGCGAGATAAGAGCATGTGAGTGAGTTAGATGCTGACCTTGTACTTTATAATGTTATCCTTTGTGCAGCCAGATGGCAACTCAATGGTTGACTTTGATCGCTCAAATATGATGAGTTCTTCTCTACGGCAACCATCGTCGGTTTTTTCTGTTAACGGTGGCAGCTATTCGAACATTTTGAGCCAAGATTATAATTGTCCCATGTCCATGGCAACGTCATCATGCTCGACCACTGACGATATGAACCAAAGTAACCAGAATGAAACTTTTGATTACGTTCCAATACAGGCGTCCATCCAACGTCTTCGGTCATCAAGTCCTGGATCGGTTGCGATGGGCACGCCTCCTCCTTCAACAATGATGAACTCACCGTACGGCTCGCCGGCAAGCCATGTGCATCAACACCAGCAGCAGCCTAGCAATTTCATGATGTCGGGAAACCCGTACTCAAACAACAATATGCGTGGTGGAATGTACTTAGGGCCGTCCGGTCCTGGATCGGCTCAGCAGTATCGGCAAGCGGATTCACCCCCTGTGAGTTTCTCGCACAAGCGTATTCTTGATGTTCAAGGCTCACAACGTGATATGTGGAAGAATGACAGTCCCGTGTCAGTATCAGCGCCTATTTTCCGAGGTGTACCTGTACCGCAGCAGCTTCAACAAGGTCAAGTAAACGAACAGCAGATGGCTATGCAGCAGTCGAAGTCGGTCTCCACACCCTTATATAGTAGGCAAACATCGAGCATGGGCCACTTCACGAACATGGAGCAGGTGTGGACGGATGATGCTTATCTGTGATCTTTTAGTTTATGATGAACGGGGCCAGATAGACCTTTCTTATTGGAGTTGCTCCCGATAGACTTGGTACATTTTTTAAAGTTATTGTTGGAGGCTAATGGCAATGTCTTCTTACTTTTTGGTCTGCTTTTCCTTGTTGTTTGTTGTCTAGCTTTGAATCATTCATTTTCTATACAGCCTAGTCGTTGCAATCGCACAGACTGTTGTGACGGCAGTCTAGTCTGGTCGCTTGAATCATGCTTGCCTATATTCAATGGTTTTTCTAATCTAATCGACAACGTCAGACCTTTTGGTAGAATTGTGCTGCAATCATGTAACAATCAGTTGTCTCTTTCTCTTAAGCTTCAGTTCATCCGCGTTGTCTGGTGTTATTTAAACTGGTAATAAAATGAGTGATGGTATTAGTGTCAAGCAGGTTTAGAATCACTAACCGAGTGCATTCTGACATGGTATTGCAAGTTGCTATCTATAGGGCAAGTGGTCAAATCTTGGTGTTTTCAAATGGACAGGCGATTGCACGTCGTTCTCTTCAAGTGGCATGGAAGAGCAACTGCGCATACCACATCTATCAAACGGATGTGTCATATGTAGGCACTGCTTCTACAAGATCAAATGTTTCGACAGCTAGCAAAGCAGCGAAAGCCGAAAGTTGTAAACTTGTAGCGCTCTACTAGTTCTGTTGAAACCTGTGTGATACCGTACCACGGCAAATACAACTGGGTCACACAAAAAACATGCCGCCACCGCCACCACTTGCTCTTCGCCATAAGACGCAATAAAATCGAGAAACAAAGAGAGGAGACTGCGGTAAGCACGTAGCACTTGACTTACTCATCGGTACGCTGGAGTGAACACAAAATTTGTTAACATCAAGGCAACAGTGTCGTTCCAGCTGAATACGAGGTACATTTGCAAGCACAACTCACTTTGCTGCGCACTCAGCAAGCATACGGAGATATCAACACGCATAGCAATCATTGCAGCGGCACCCACTGCCTCCAGTTCTCAATTAACGTTTTCCCTAATCTTATTACTCCTTCTTTTTGTCAGCACTTTTCACTGCTCCGGATGAACAACCTGACGCACGAGCTTTTGGATCGCCAGTAAAAGTAGGCGTGGAAATAGCAGCACGACCACTCGCCCGGTCTGACTTTACGCTGTCATGTGACAACAGACGGCGTTCCAGAAATTTGTCAGTAGACAGCTTCTCAGACTCCTCTTCCAGCTCACAGTCTTGACTATGCTCCTCTGCTTCCTCTTCTTTTACTCCTTGAGTCACTTCTGTAGTCCTGAGTTTTGCACCAAAAGAAGAGATTGCTTCAGCACCTCCCATCACGACATCATAATCATGTGAAGATGAAGTCTTGACCATATCGGCAGAAACCATGTAACCTGCTGCACCTAACGGTGTCTTTGCTTTCTTAGCTAATCCCTCCGTTACAACAGGGGACGAAGACAATGACGCTATTAACATAGCACTGTCTTTCTCAGACGAGTCGCGCGTTCGCTTCTTCAGCAATGTTGCAGACTCCAAAGCTTTCGTCGCATTCGAGGCTTCATCTGATGAAGCACAATCACTCTGCTCTATACTTCCAGATGATGTTGGCGTCAGCGCTCCCTTCTTCATGTCGTCATCTTCCTTGGATTCTTCCATCGGATCAACATCGTCCTGTAAATCGTGTACAGGAGTATCATGCATGGGAGAACCATACACGGGTGTTGCCGATGGTGTGTCAACAGGCGTAGCACTTGGAGAATCGTCGTCATCATCATCATCGTCTCCATCGTCATCAATAGAACCCAAATACTCGATAGCCAACTCAGGCTCAATAAGCCACTTGCTAGACTCTGGGGCCTTCATGCGTGGCGAAGGTGCCCAAATTTTAGAAGGCTCGGATGCACCGGATGGAGTGGTGCCGCCACGTACCTCCAGGGGTGTCTTACGCAGTATGCCAGGGTTGAACTCAATTCGGAACGCACCTTCACCCTCAAAAATGGACTTCGTCTTATTAAGATATGCAGCAAACTTGGCTTCAGCTTCAATCGGGTCTGTTGAGGGCTTTGGTCCACCTTGCATCTCGGCAAACGCCTTAGTAAGCTCTTGACAGATGTCATCATTTGCCAAGTGCTGCATCTGCTTGAGCACCTGGGCCACGAGCTTGTCCATCGTGAACAAAAAGTACGACGTAGATCCCATCAGACTTCGGCATGAATCCTCATACTTCGAATTGTCAACCGAGCCATCAATCAGCGAGTACAACTTGGATACAAACGCCTGATAATCACCGGCCTTCTCCTTTGTTGACGCAGATAACGAGTGATGAGCGTGAACCAGTGCGCGAGCTGCAGGATTGATAATGCGACGATTGCGATTGCGTTTCGCCTTCTCGCACAGGTCATACGCGCGCTCAAGCCGGTTATGTAGTATCTGGTACAGACGCAAGAACGCATATGCGTGCTGATTACCATAGAAAAGCGATTTGTAATCAGCTTGTATCTTAACCACATCCTGCTTGTTATCTAGTGCGGGAAGACTAGACGGGAAATCTGTTGCCTCCTGAATAGTGAGAGCGCTGGGTTGCAAGTACGCTTGGCACCCGACTGCAGCCAGATTAATCGTGAAATAGGTCTTTTCTCTGTTAAACTGCTGCACAGTTCCCTCTCCAAACTCTGTGCTCACCTCGGTACCAATAGGCAACGTCTTCGCTTTTTCGTGCGTCACTGTAGCGTGTTGTGGCTTGCGCACAAGCCACTCCTCCTCCAAATTGAAAAATGGAAAAAAAAAGTTCTGCCAAACCTTGGATAACTTCTCCTTGTCAGCTACGCTCAAGTTCTTCTCGGCAGCGTACGACAATAAACCGAATGCCTCCTTGTGAATTTGCACAGATGCAAACTTGTAAGCAAAATGAGGTTTCCACTTTGTCAGAGGAGACTGCGAAAAAACTGCCATCGTCTTCGCGGTCGGAATTTTTAGTGAAGGTGCAGATTGTTCCTTTTTAAGCGCATTGGCAATATCTGAAGCCTGAGGAGGAGCCTTGGCGCTCACAATAGCAGTAGTCGCTGACACAGTAGATGGTGACGCACTCAAGTCCGTCTTCAATTCTTCAGCGCGCTTCTCATCCGCCTCCAGCTTTTTCTTGGCCTCCTGCATCATCGTCTTCATGCTAGTCTGCTTCTTATCTTTCTGCTTAAAGTAAAAACTAGAGTGATCAAGCGACTTGTGGTAGTTCTTCTCGTTAACTTCCTTCCACTGGCGGTTCAAATCTTCACGGGCACGGCGCCACTCCTCATCCTTCTGTTTCAGCCGCTTTAAAATTACCGGAATAGCGCCAGCAGGGTACTGACGCAACAATTCCAAGATTTGGGTTCCTGAATCACCGTAGATTCGCGTAATTGCGTTCAAGTGCGTTACACGAAACGTACCCTTATCCACAACATAATTCCATAGCTGATCGTCCTCACCACTTGACTCCTTGCTCTTTTTAAGCACCTCAATCTCGTGTGCCAGCGGCTCAAGAATACTGATCGTAGATGCATTTGTCTCAATCACCATATCAATCTCAAAGCGTTCATCTTCGCATTTAAAAAGTGCTTCCTCGTACTGATTTTTTCGCATGCTCTTAAAAGAGAAATCTTCACTGCCAGTGGGAACTGACACCCAAGAATCATTGCACACTTGCTTTTCAAGAGCTGAGCGATGGGAACATGGTGGAATGGGATAGCTCGCGGGCAAACCACGGTATGAGGGAGTGGCGCGGCGACACTGCGACAAATCCGTCTCAGCGAGCGGAATGAATGGCCAAATTTCCTTGGGGGTCTTCTGCACACCATGAGAGCACAAAAGTTGGTCAAACTCTTTCACCAAATCCGTGTGCCGGCCAAAGAGATTCCTAATAAGTGATAGCATCTCGTTGCGGTCTAGTACTTCCTGGCTATATAGCTCCAGGCACTTGAGAAATTCGCGCCAGTTGTCCCGCGATGGGAGAATTCTTTTAATCTTCTCAAATATACTCCACTCTTCTTTGTCGAGCAGTACATCCGAAATCGCCAAATACGCACGACGTTCTGTACCATCGTATGGGCGGCGCTTGGCACGCTTGTGATTGAACTGCGCACGGTTGCGTTCACGCTCACGTTCCTTCTCACGCCGTTCCAAAGCCTTACCACTCAAGTGGTGATCATCATCTTTGTAACCTCTCCCATTTCCTTTCTTACCAAACTTGTTGTAAGCATCTTCATCCCCGCCAATCACACGTCCACTCTTCATTGCAGCACTGGACGGCGAAACCGAGCCACGGTCGTCCCTTCGATCAGATTGCTGATAACCCTGCGACAATGAACCATATTTTCGAGCTCTTTGTGCCATTTGGTCTTTGCGCTGTTGAGCTTTCTCAGCAGCACGATTCAGACGCTCCTTGGCCTGTTCCTGAACTGCATCGGGCAAGAAGAACGTAAACTCACGCAGCAGATCAGGATGGTCACGGAAAAGGTGTGAGACTTGGTCGAGCACCTGGCGGATAGAACGCTGCTCTTTCTGGTACGTGTGCAAGATAGCCAGAAACTCTTTGTATGTCTCAGGCTCATCAGCAAAGCGTTGCTTGATAGTCGTCACATAGTGAATCGCGTGATCAAACTCGACAGGGTTCGTCGAGCCTCGTGCCGCAGCGTTGCCTCCACCCAGCGTCATCGTCTGCTGCTGCGACTTCTTTGACTTTCCACCAGCTTTGATCTGACCACCGGGGGGCAGCTGCTGACGCGACGATGACGTCGGCTTATGGAGCTCTGGAGGTGAATACGGAGGTGGAGGGATCGTCACCGGGGGTGGACGATGGCCCATGTTCGCGTTAGAAGTTTGCTGTGCTCCATACATAGACTGTTGCACACTTCCACGTCCCGTCATCTGAGACGGAATCACCTCAATCGACGTATCTGGACGAATACGATATCCTGGTGGCAGAAACGTGTTAAAGCCCAAAATCAGATTTGGATATCCACGAAATAGCGTCGACACACGAAGAATTACTCCAGGTGTATCAATCGCCTGTGCTTTGAAGTCTTTCATAACATCCAAAAACTGGTTGTAGATATCCGGCTGATCTCCAAACTGCTGTTTGACTTGATCCAAATACAATAAAGCATCTTCCACACGTAGTTCTCGATGACGTGGGGGTGGGCCTGCCATAGATTGCTGTTGGTAGTAGTCTCCTTCCACTTGATCATTGGGAATAATACGTCCATCCAGTCCATATTGCTGTTGAATCTGCACTTGTTGTGGCTGTTGTTGTGTCTCTGTGGGACGACGAGGTGGCGATGGAGGTCGTACATTGTAGCTCTGTGTTGATGGCTTCAGTCTTTCAGATGATGGGGCCATGGATTGCTGGACGTTTCCCATGCTTTGACTCATCCCCGGCGCCTGCATACGTACCGAGTGACCCATCATCCCAATGCTTGAAGATGAGGCACCTTGAGATCCTGTGGGCTTACTCAGTACTGAGGATGGACCACCCGTATTCGAAGATCCCCCTAAATTACCACGGGGTGGATGCAAGATTGAACCTGCTGAAAGTGGATGCGGTGATCGTGACGTGTTAGGGCCACCACCACCAAGTGAGCCTGGAAGAGATGGTGGAGGTAGAACAGGTCCACCTGGATGCATAATAGAGTGTTGTGACTGCTGATGAGTCTGTTGAGAGCCTCCATGGAGCGGATGCAAGTGATGATTTAGCTGAGCCAATGATGGCTGTGGATGATAGCTATGCTGTTGTTGTGTAATCGAAGATGGACCACCCTTTACCCCAAGTCCTGAGCTTGAGGATGAATTTAGAGATGGAGGAGGTCCATGACGATCACCTGAAGAGCCCGGATATGATGATGGATTCATCACCGGAAGAAAAGAAATACTCCACACAAGACGATTCTTGGCCTTTAGTAATTCTTTAGAAATGACAGTCGAGAGGAAGGGTGGGGCGGTTCAAGTACTTGGTTTTAGTAAGACTTAGAAAGACTAGTGTAAAATATGTACCAAACATCGATTTGTTGTTCGTACTTATTGAATAAATACACGGTACGATTACATCCTGAAAACTATCGTTTTGACTTGAGATTGTCTCGTAATTCCTGTAAGTGATACTTCTAATGGTCGCTTAAGATGATCATAGAAAATAGTTAGTACTACTTCATATGTGTAAACCAAGAGCTGATAAGAATTTCACACAATCCGCTAGTACAACGACCTCCCATGCAGTGCAATGTTCGATCGTTGAAGCTACCGAAAAAGTAATGAATCGATTGATCTTCAAGAGTAAACAAGATCTGTTGAAGCTGGTAATGAATGTTACGTGTGCACATTTGCACGACAAACGTGGTCTCTTGCTAACTTTTAAACGCTATAAGGACGCATGGTTTGAACTCAGTTGTCACCTCAGCTAACAGTCATTACCAAGCAACCGACGCTGGTAAATATGCATTTCTGGTCGTTTTGACTTTCCTCGGTAGATTCTTTGTTGCTTGCCACAGCTGACGTGACTGTAACTAAATTTGGACAGCTTTTACCTCATTATCCAGCGTCTCTCCTTTCTCTATAGGGAATGTTGCCTTCTCAGTATCGATGAATGTGCTACTGCGACCATGACCAAGGACAATGAAGAAATTGAGCTGATAGATGTCGCCATGTTAACAGCAAACTTCTTGTTGACTCAAATAAAGAGAACCAAGATGACTGCTTCTTGCACGTCGGAAGTGAAAAAGAATTTCATTTATAGCAACGAGCGCGAGCTCATGGCAGATCTCGTTCGCCATGACGAATATCAAGATCACGATACAACAACACGCGCAGTTTTTAGTGTCGTGGAGGAGAGAGTCGGAATCAAATGCAAGGTTGGTTTCTTTGCTATAGAAATGATAAGGTGACTAACGCTTCCATGGCAATTCGTTTTAACTTCTCTCACAACGTGATCGATTTGGTCATGTCATGTCTTTTATAATCGCCTTGGCTTGAAACCGTGTCAATTATGTTTCATCATCATCGTCTGTCTTCTTCTTCTCTATTATAATACCCTACTATTGTCTGTCATTGCATAATGTATGGAATTGACTCATGTATCCCCATTAATAATTATTTGCACCATGTCAAACACGTCTACGCTTTCCTCCTCAAGTCGTCGTCTTGCCGCGTTTACTCGTCAATTGCAGCCAATACCATGTACCATGTCCACACGTGACGAGACAATTGCTGAGCTTGCAGTGGAACGCGCTCGTGCCAGCTTTTGTCCTCGTGTAATGGCCGACTTCCTTTATGGTGGGAAGAAGCAGACGGAGCTCCGATTGGAGTCCATGAAGTTGTTAGAAGATCACTTAGGATTCCGTAATGATGTTGGTATCTTTGATCGGTCGCTTGAGCAGCAACGGGAGCACTCAATTCAGCGCTTCCGACGTCTGCATATGCTGTTCATGGAGCACGACGCGGACGTGGACAAGCGCGAGGCGCTGGCAGACATTGTAGGCGTGTTTGACCTGTCATTATGGACACGTAATGGAGTCCATTTTGGCCTGTTTCTAGGTGCCATCATGGGTCAGGGAGATCAGGAGCAGCAAGATAAATGAATGCTGCCAACAATGATGTTGCAGCTTTTTAGCTGTTACGGCATGACAGAGCTCGGTCATGGCAGTTTTACGAGAGGATTCGAGACAACAGCGACGTTTGATGTGGAGACGGATGAATTTGTGATCACACACGACAGATCGAGCGACAAAGTGGTGGATTGGTGGCGCTGGGCAGACTGCCACGCACACCGTGTGCTTTGCGAAACTTGTGCTGCCGAAAGATGGAGGTGTCGATCACGGAGTTCAGAGCTTTATTGTACCACTTCGTGATGTAGAAACGCACGAGCCGCTTCCTGGTGTTAAAATCGGGTAATGGGCTCTAAAATGGGACTCAAGGGGTGGACAATGGATGGATCCAATTTGACAATGTTCGAATTCCAAGAGCGAATATGCTGCGTCGCTATGCAAAGTCTCGAGAGATAGCAAGTTTTCGCAGACAAATCACAAGGCGAACTGGCCTACGCAGCACTTCTTGTCAATCGGGAAGATCGTGACATTGTCGGTAGGAATTTTGGAGAAAGCCGTGACGATTGCTGTGCGCTATGCTGCTGTGCGTCGTCAAGGATTGCAGATACATTCGGAGGACGACATGCAGAGACGCGACTGCTAGACTACCAGACGCATCAGTACCGTCTAATGCCGTTGTTAGCTTGTGCCTTTGCGTACCGACTCCAGACCAGGCATATCGCACGTCTGCTGGAGCAATTTGATATCGCTGGAAGCGATATCTCAGAGGCACTCTTGGCTGATATCCATGGCACGATGTCGGGCTTTAAAGCTTTTTGTACTTGGGACGTACAGGCAGCAATTGATGCTTGCCGTCAGAGCTGCGGTGGCAACGGATACAGCAAGTACACGGGACTAGCAGATTTGCTGGCAGATTTTTCGGTTATGGTGACCTTCGAAGGTGACAACAAGTTATGGTGCAACAGAAGCGAATTATCTTATGCGAGCTGTGGAAAAATTGCGACGTGGTGAGAAACTTGCGGGGTCTGTCAGTACTTGGAGAGAGAGCAGGCCAGCAATCAACATCGTCAGTGGGGTGTGGAAGGCATCCATGACTTGAATGATTCAGCGCTACTTTGCGATGCGCTGGATGTATACACTGGCGAAGTGCTTCGAGTCGCAGTTAAGATAGCTGTTGCTGAGGGAAATACAGAATTGAAACGCGTGAACTCGTGCTTGGTCGACCTCGTGGAGATTGCACGCGTTCATGTGTTCTATAATATAGCTGCCACTTTCTTACAGCAAATTGAAGCGCTCACATTGGAACCATCAAAAACGACTCTCGTGCCGACACTAAAAAGCACTTTGCCAGCTGTACATTTTCCAGGAATTGGACCGTGGTGCCGCTTTTTTGCTTAAGGAGAAGTTTATGTCGTCATATCAGAGCAATCTCGTGCGCGTGCAGCTCATGAAAAACTGTGCTCGTGTGCGTGCTGACTGCGTCTCTCTCGTTGATGCCTTCATGCTCACGGACACGGTACTTAATTCGTCAGTAGGCCGTTCTGATGGCAGCATCTATGAAGGAGCAATTAATGCAGTACGCCACCGCACCGGCCCGACTCCATATTTTTCTACATCGATCAAGCCCATGTTTGATGGCAACCGACTCGAGTGATTTTAATTGGCTTGAAATACCGGCGCGAAGCAAATGCCCGGAGTAGTCGATAGATTGACAACTTTTTATGATTGTTTTCCAATGACGTTATCATCTAGTTATCCTCGTTGTAATCTGGATGGTGCTTTGTGTCCACGCTATATAGCTAATTCTTGACCATTTAAGCATTCCACATATATTTTTCATTGGCCTCTTACAAGTCGAACGGCATACAAGAAATATTGCGAGCATTGGCGTGAAATGTGTTTCTCTACTCGCTTGGCACAGGTATGTACATATTACCTTGCACATTTGGAGTCCAAAACAATAATGCTCGTCTAAAAACAATCAGTTCCGTGACGCAACAAAGTAACTGAAAGTTTCCGTTGCCTGGACATGGTAGCCAACCTTTTTTAATGCATTTTTCAAAGCCTTAGCATTAGTCAAAGCATACAAGAATATAAAAAAAGATAAACAGTATGAAGCCTACCATTAAGTAAGTAAGAAAACTTATTCCTGTTACTGTGTTGGCTTTATTTTGCCAAAATGATACATTTGGGACTCGTCACTGACGTGATTGGTTGAAGCTGAAACATTTATATGATTGGTTGACGGCTTCAAGTTGGGCGGGCTGATAGGATGTAGTAATGAAGGCTTGTCTGCTATGAGTCAGCAGCAAACACAAGAACATGTGATCCATAGCATTATAAGTGTTTGTATTGCATTGATCCATGCGTTCGTCCGCATAGTTTCATGCCGAGTTTCAAGTAACTATATCATCTCTACCAATCTTCAAAAAGGTATCAGCAGATTAATTTTTTGGTATGTAATGACTGGTGAAGCCAAACGATCACCCAGCGGTGTTACCCCTTCATCATGATTGCCAATATTGTTGATTCTCTTTCACTATCGATTGCATCCGCCAAGGCATCACAGGCATGACAAGTAATTTGAGATCTGATAGACTTGAATATGGCCGTACTGTCAGTGCAAACACGGAAGAATGCGTTACAAATACAGCTCAACGCTCACACGGAATTAACCGCCGCTCTCAAAAAGAAGCAGATTACACGTAGAGATATGAGCAGCTGACCATGACCGAACCAAGGCAGAGCCGCTGTTTGTTCTTTGGTTGGCATGAACATCGTTGTAGTCAACAATCTGTACAAGAAGCATGCTGTGGCGTATTTGTTAAACTTCGTGGACATACAATACCATTTCAATTGAACAGCTGCCATGAGGGAAAGGCTCAAAACTCTGCAAATATGCATGGTGCATATCAGTACGCACGACAACAAAGCTATCGACAGGCTGTTTCCTAGCAATCCTCTTGACACTGTCTACCCTCTTGCATCGTCTTACCTAATTCGCAATACGCTCTACCGCATCAGGCAGATGATCGCTCTGAAACTCACGGTGCTCACATTATCCTCCGTCAAGCTCTTAGCTGTCAGAGTGACAGCGCATCGATTTCTTGGCCGTGTCGTCATTACCAGCGTTGGCCTTTTTCAGACTTGAGTAGACGTACCGCCTCCACTGATTACAGCAATAGCACCGTCTTTTTGTATGGTAGAGTTTTGCTCGCAACAGTCAAACTTAGTACTGCTGACTCCAGCGCTCGGTTGGTTAGCGCACTATGACTGCGCCACGGTCAGTAGTCTACACTCAAGAAAGCGCCACACCCTAACTTCTACACAAAAGTCCTGGCCGAATATCCTGCAACAAAAAGAACGCTGCGAGTGACGGACTTTCTCCACCTGATAGCACATCATATTCTCGTTGCGACTCGCAATGTGGTCAGAATCAAATGCTGCTAAAGGTCGATCTGACCTGGTCTTGAGTCAATATTTGACGCCGGTAGCTGCATCGCGCAGTGGACAGTCCACATGTCGGACGAAAACACCGCTCAAATATCTGTATACGTGCCACCGAAAGTACGACCGGAACTGTCCACGAACATGCAACGCAGCGACAAATCAACACACGCAAACCCGATGCACTCGCGTGCGGATAAGAGTCACATCATTTAGAAAACAGTAGAGTCGAGTCTAACGTTCGTCGCTTGCAAGAAAAAACGACATTTATTGGCGCATGTGAACCCCCAAGCCAGACGAAAGCCAAAGCAACACAGACAGGCTTCAACAATATTAATTTACTAAGGGTCCCAACAAGAATAATCAAACGCTGCCGCACGCTTGCCATGGGCAGCAAGATACTATCTGCGACAGCACTCTATGATTCACCCGTTGAGAAAAGATCAGGAAAAATTTAATGCTTATCGCGGTGATCACTATTTACTGGACAAGAACAATAAACGATCGTCTTGCTACGGTAAAGTTGCGACAGTAATAGCGGCTCCAAGATGTAGCACCAAGAAGGGCAACGCTATTACAAAATACAGTTACCAGTACGGTCCACTCTTCATGTTCAGTGTAAAAAATTCAATGGCTGGCTCCGCAGCCGAGTAGCCTCGCCTCGGTCAGAATGCGACAAATGGCTTCAGCTAATAAGCTTTTTTCGAAGGTATCGCAGACTCACACTCTGCCTGTCTGTCTGTCACATCAGAAGTCAATGTTACCAATTTCCACAGCTTTTTGCATGACTGAGGCAAACCCCGTCACGACACCCATAAAAAATCTCGTGATAGTCGTGAGGTTGGTTCATGCTAAGCTCCTGCATAGCCTTGCAAAAACATCACGAGTCGGACCCTGCACTTGAGCGACTTTGGACAGTCCGATGCAACCTTTTTAATCATCATCGTGATCTAACTGGTTGTCCAGTCTGCCCTTGACCGTGTTGCAGCGATACAGCGTTACTTTGGCGCGAACTTGATTAGTCATGGTGGATAAGCAGTACTTGTAGCATAAGTCGCTCAAAAAAATGTGTTTGACCGCGATTAATAGGGATTAAACTACGGTGATATGATGCCAGTGCGCAGGGAATGGACTGAGGCCAAAATTTTCTCTCACTACCGCGTCCCAGTGCTCAAATATTTTAATATGTAGAGACTGGCCAGCATGGGGGCTTTCCATCTTATTTAATTCCCATGCACAGCACTTACATGTATGCCGAGACTATCAGCTGCGACCATCATCGTACCATCCGAAACGTATCTTTTTCCAAAGTATAGTCAAGTCAAGTCAGATGAAGCGTGTGGACATTCGTAGCACGAGCGACCATCACCTCTGCTCAGTTTCTGGTCATTGATTTTTGTGGCCTGCTCGCCCTGTCGCTCCAAAAATACTATTGTCTTATACAACTACCCTCACTTTCCAATACGCCATATAGAGAGCAAGTCTATTTTTTTCTATTTGTAATCAAGTGGAATTGGTCGCTGTATTGTTCTTTGACCATCCCGCTGTTTAATTCTCTCTATATATATTTTGCACCAACGACTGCCTTTACACCATACCGTCACTACCAGGATGATGATCCCGGAGTACTCCCCACGGGGAACCTCCATCACATACGGAAGCGCCACGGCTGTGCCGCCCATGGTGTACCGTCTGAGCCTCAAGCCGGCATCACCCACGCCTTCCACAACTTCAAAGGTCTCGGCTCCTATCGCCACGTCTCCGACAGCCACTGCAATTGTGTACATACAAAGCCGCCGTCCTACTATTCCTAACAGCTCTAGTACTGGATCACTCGGGGCAAGCGCAGGTCGTTACAACGAGCGCAGACACAAGAGCTACTCGGAGTCTGCGGTACGTCTTGAGCGCATGTTAGCCCCTGCCGCTACATCTAGCGTCATTCCACAAACAGGCCCGTATTCGGCAGGTGATGAGAATGACTTTATCCGTTCGTTGACTATCTCTGGATACTCTAAGAACAGTCATGGCACTTGGATGTTTAAAGTAGACGTGGGTGGTCCCAACGACAGTAATGCGTACGTTGTACGCCGCCGCTTTACGGACTTTAAATTGCTCCACGATGGATTGTCCAAGCTGTTGAAGCTTCCTGAATTGCCACCACATGGCGTCGTGTCAGTGTTTCAGATGTTGGTGTCACCGAAGAAATTGCTTACCGCACGTGCAACGCAACTGCAGGAGCTACTATTGGTGATTCGTGCGCACCCGTTGCTATTCAAGAGCAAGGCGTTTAGCTTGTTCATTGGCAAGAATCCGAGCAGTTACGACGCTGGGTACGTGAGCTTGTCAGGCTATGAAGTGCCTGCAAGCCGACGCATAAGTCCAATGGGGTCTTTCGACACTGCCTACTCAGTTTAAGAGAGATGATAAAGATAAAGAGAGGAATAGAGAGGCGGACAAGACACACAGACACACTGAGCCAGAAGAGAGAGGGAGAGAGAAGAGAGGGGGCACCGGTAACACCAGACACACACAGTGACGACACCACACACGTACAATAGGTGGAGTTGCTAGTGGAGAAGAGAGTAAATTTATTTATTTACTGCGTTATTCGTGCAATACATTAATGAGTACAAAGCTACTTCTGTCGTGCGTATTGTTGCGTTGTGTCTGCTCTTGTGATTCGAATGACGGATGACCCGCACATTGTCGTCTGCCTGACGTCGCAGCTGTCTAATCTGCTCAAAGCAGACGAAGCGCTAACAATCGATCATCGCTCGAGTCAATCCGTAAGTAGCAACATCTTATAACATTACGAGCTTGCAGCTTGACATATCCAATCAGTATACATGTCTCAATGATTTCTCCATTCATCAAAGCAACGCTTTGTGGTCGTGTAACCAGTCACGTAATCAGCCAATCTGTCTAGAAATTCATCCGTGCGTGATCCATCCATCAGTCTGTCTGATGAATGTTGACGGATTGTAAACGTACCCCACTGTAATCCAAAAATGGAGGGGTACGCTCATAATTTTGAAATTTATTCCTCATGATCTCGACTGCGGCAACTCGAGGATTCGCTACGTCTGGTTACAAACGTGCTAAAGCTATTCGTGTCAAGAAAAGTGAGTCTCGTCGCGTTGTTACGAAAGCACCTAAAGCTGCTACCAATGCACTCACAGAAGTGCCTACTTCACTACCGCCTTTCGTACATTCAGAACAACAGACGACTCCACAGACATTTGGTGGTATAATGAAAGAGGTTTGTGTGACTGTGCAAATTAATAATGTTTATTTTGAACCTCTTGATATGATTATTAAGAAAATGATATAATTATATAGAGTTTCTTGTGGGGTCTGGGCATGGCAGTCGCATTTTCATTTGTTGGGATTATTTTCAGTCGTATGGAAGAAGAGGTACATGTAGTATTGTGATTTTGTTGTTGTTTCTATTGTGTGTTTTCCATAGCTCAAAAACTAACGTCAAAGATCAATGATTTTTATATTTCTTGATAGTCGACGATGCCAAACAAGTTTCAGGAAAGTTTTGTCGTGTCAGCAAACGGTCAGAACCCGCATGAAGATCAATCGAAGCAGTTATTTGTAGACAAATAAATTGACCCGTTGAACACAAGGCTTAAACGAAATACTTGCATTGCATCAGCTCAATATCAAAGAGCTCAACGATTCTTGGTTCATTTCATTGCTGTGTAAATTCTAATCAGAAAAAATGTGCAGTGGCATCCACTAACTATCACCGCTTCATGCTCTTTCGCACGATTCGACATAGGACCAACTGACTTTGTCATTCTCTTTTGCTCTTCCGACGAAGCATATAGAGACGTCCTTATCTCGAGAAGCACTATATAATGCAGAGAAAAAATTAATCCCAATCGTCATCCGAGTCCGAGTTTACGTTCGAGACTGTCTCCTCGTATTCCACCTGAATACGACGCATTGCCATAGCATTCGTGATAGCTTCGTTAATAGAACTTGGTTGCGTGAAGGCAGGTGGTGGCGCTAATGGTTGCATAGTGCTTGATACATCTCCAGACGAGCTGCCAACGGCCGATCCACCACTAGCTTTCTTTAGCTGAGCACCCTGCCGGATTGCGGCAAGCAGATCGCCACGACCGCCTGCAAATGGATTCGGGCGAACAGGGAGAAGGTCTTGCACAGCTGGCTTTGGAGATTCTGTAGCAGAAACAGGTAACGCAAAGCTTGCCCGAGAACTTGCTCGAGAGCTCAGCCGTGACCGTGATCGACTCTTCTTAGCTTCTTCAAAAACCGAGTTGATACCACTGTCCGACAGCTCAGACTTTTTTAGTTTCCTCCGCAAGGTTGATGAAGTTGCAGATTCGCGCCGCTGCTGCCTTGCTAAAGGCGTCGGAGGGTCGACCGACGTGTCAGAGTCAGACTCTGGGTCGGAATTAGAGTTATCTAAGCCGAAAAGCCCCTTCGATCCCCTCGATTTAGCAGCTTGGATAGGACGACTTACGAGTGGAGATAAAGAAGCGGGAGATCCTAGCGCCTTTCTTGACATGGGTGCAACTGGGCTTCTCGGAGGTCGGCCATTGGAGCCGGCGGCACTATTTGCTACACTTCTGTTGGATTTTTGATCGTTTGATAATGCCCGCGCAAAGACACCATCAATGTGATATTCAAACTTGAACCGCTCGTTCGACAACACTTCAGGTAAAGCAACCAGCTGTTGCAAATACAAGCGAAACTCTTGTGCACGCTTTGCCATATTCTCGGGTTTCGTATTGTTGCGCAAGCGGTGCTTAGGAGGAAACTTCGGCATCGTGATCCCCGGCAAAGCCGATGCCAATCGCGTGTGTATTTCTTCAAACTCCGAGTACGTGAATGAAAAACTATGCTCCAAATTTCCAAACTGTAGCGTAAACGTAAACACGCCAACCGATTTTTTGCCCTCCACGCGCAATGCAGACGTTTTGAACAGCACAACAACACTAGGTCCTGCTCCGCCGGCTCCAACATTGTTGACATTACCCGGAACTGCGGCTGCGGTATTTTGTCGTGCAACGAGTGACGTTTCTGTGCAAAAGAAAGGGTATAACCAAGTGAGATAACGACAATCAGCCTACCAAGACACGTATATGCAAACGCTACCGTTGTTGGAGTCAGAGTCACTTGATATATCCTCATCACTGCTCGAAGACGGCTCCAAGTGGACCTTCTTCTTTAGATTAGAGCGTGCGCCCGCACTCGAATCACTGAAACGTGTACTATTTGAAGCATTACAGGTGCTGCTCACTGCCTTGCGCTGCCGCTCACCCACGCTAAACAACTCAGTATCCGATCCTTCATCTTCATCGCTGCTGCTATCATCAAAAAGCCCCCTTCGGCCTGTATTAGCGTTTGTCTTAGCTTTGGTTGTTGCATCTTGCGCGCCATTACTGCTCATTGCCTTCTTCAATATCTCTTTCCCCTCAGCACTAAGCTGAGAGCTACGTTTTCGATCGCGCAAGCTCCCGTTAAGTCTGGTAGTTGCTACCGGGCTTGCCACCCCATTAGCAATACCCACATCTTCAACCGTATCAGCTCGGTTGCGGCGAATTGCAGCAAGACTAGCAGCAAACGCATTTACCATCGAGGGTTCTGAGGCAGGAGGGTCGTTACTGCCAACCAATCGATTCATTTTCGTCCTCGACTCCCGTTCTGGTACTGCATACGACGCAGTTCTGACCGAACTCATGGTTGACCCAAACGAGTCCCGTCGATGGCTTGCGTGTGACGTTCGTGATGTAGATTTCGACCTTTTGCCACCTAAAATGGCTGCAAAATTGCTTTGAATGTTCTGTTTCGCCTCGTCTGCATCTGATACACGGTGACTACTTTGGAAAAAAGAAGACCGCGATGCCACAGGTTCTTCATCCCGATCAAAAGCAAAAGAGTCGAAAGATGAGCTGCGCAAACTGCTGCTGGATCTTGAAAGGCGAAACTCTTTATCGTTAAAGCTACGGTGATCAAAGAGTGGGGGTGGTGGGGGTGGTGGGGGTGGCAGTGGAATACCCATCGATGCTCTAGAAGACATTGAAACTCGAGAGGTATTGGTGGATCGACGTGGCAGCGAAGAAGAAAGAGGAGGTACGTTGTTCGTACCAACATCATACTTGGATCCTGCAGCAGACGAAACAGAAGAAAGCCGTGATGACATTGATGAGCTGTCCGACATATCGCTTCCAGAAAATCCCGAGCGCATTGGTCCATCGTTGTGCACAATACCACCAATTTCAAAAACTGTATTCAATACAACAACAAAATACGTGCCAATACATTAAACCACAAGCATCATCACAACGGGATCTCTAAAAGTAAGAAGAAAAAACGCACACACAATACTCACATTGCCCAGGAGGAGGAAGTTCCACACGAACTTTAACTTTCTGTTCTACAATCTTCGTGTGTAATGGTTGGACATTATCTGTTTTACCACCTGCTGCTTCTTCCATCCGTCGGCGATACGCAATTTTATTCACTCTCCCAGTTGTCGGTGCTTGTCGGCGTTGTAATCTCATTTTTCGTTTTTCCAGCATCTTTGCTGTATCCTCATCCAATGAACCAAGTCCATCGATTCGTTCCAATGGCGTCATGTTGTTAATCTCTTCCTCTCTTGCTAACATTTTATCCTGCTCTTCTTTGATCATTTTTGCTTTTTTCGCTTTCCATTGACGAATTTTTTCTTCCCGTTCTTCCTGTAATCGTTTCGCTTCTTTCTTTAAGCGCCGTCGTTCACGTCGAACCTCTAGCCCCGGTTCACTATGTGGATCCAACACCGCTAGTATAAATAGGGCAAACACGCAAAATAAGTAAACAAACATCCACATTCAAACAAAAACATTATATCTCAATCAAGTCCATATCAACCAAAAAAACGTACCAATAAATCCACGACACCATTTCTCAAGATCCACACGATTGAAAGCTGCTAAATGCATGCGTGACTTGATATTACTTTCAACCTTAAGCTCGAGACCGTAGGAATCAATTTTCAATAATCCATCACCATCCCATCCAGCAAAACCCTGGAGATAAACGGATTCAATCTTATTCCCTGACGTGATATGATCACTAATATCACTACTCGCACTTCTAGTGTCATAAAACTCGAGCTTTCGATTCATTCGAAGCACAACATATAGTTCTTGTAGCGTTTGGCAATGCTTGATGATTGTGGATGACGGTGACATTAGTCCATGACTCGACTTGAAATTCGTATGTAAAGTTTCATGAAATGATGTCATTTCATCTTGTTGACAGAGTAAAAAACCCTCTTGTACAATATAAGACCCTCCCATTTGAAGATCGAGGAAGCTTTTTTATTGTGTTTTTTTTACCAAGTGTGATTTTTTTTATTATGGGATAAAGTCAGTTGGGAAGACCATAATGAAAACAAGTGATTTAAAATGCTGAGTAAGTTTTGAAAAAAACCATCCTGCGACATTTCGACTTTTTGTCGCTAATGATGACGCACCCGTGAGTGGAGTTGGAATTTATCAAACGATTAGGTTGCTCGAAGGATTGATTGCGCTTGACTCAAATCTTCGTACAAGGCTACAAACTTGATTGGACTCATGTCAAAGTTCAGTACATGACGTGTATCACTTGTTGCTGATGTTATTGCCATATCGCATTCCAGAACCTCTTGGTCTAACTTCATCTTCAGTAGTACATTTGATGAAGCCTCTACCTTCCATTCGACTGTCTTCACGTTTGGAAACTAGGCACAATGATGGATCAGACACTTACTTAACTTTCACACAGTAAATAGTAAAGATTCAATAAGACAAACCCGAAAGCGTTGAGCACGTTGCTGATCTTGGATACGAGGACGGATATCTTCGTAACTTTGTGCAATAGCTTCGGCAGTCGATTGATGCATACCCAATTGTTGCAACTCTTCCATGAGATCTCTGCCTGCTGTATTATATTTGGCAGCATGCGTCAGGATGAACCGCAGAGAAGCAGCTGCAGTCTGGCCATGGCAATTAGATTCATGTCGTCGTCAGCTCTGTTTCAATCTAACTAAAAACGAAAAGAGACCTTTTTAAACTTCTTAACCTTTCTATCGTCTACCTCTTGTGACAGTAAATGTGTTTGATCCAACGCCTGTTGATAGACCTCTTAAAAACTTAGGTCTCCGTATTGTCACTTACTAACATACGCACCTGCGCTGTAATATCCGCCCCAATAGCTTGACACATGGCGACGAGATTATCAGTTGTCTACATAAATAAATTATCGAATGCTAGTCAATCAGGGCCATACACTTGACAGCAACCCAAATTCAAGAACGTCGACACACCATTCTATCAGTCTCCGATAGCAGTGGCAATTCAACCAGAAGCCAGTCAGGTGGCTCCAAACCTCCACAGAATCTAAATTTCTAAATCATATTAGTAGGAGGAATGTGCCAATACAGAGCTTAGTCCCCTTGCGTCATCAAGGTTTGTAGTATACAAGATGGTAGGCGCACCATGTTTCTGCTTTTTTATATAATACTACTCAGAAACTGATCCTGGTATGATTAATTTGACACGAGAAGAATTACTTTTTTAGCACAAGTAGATCTTAAAAGGTTGCAAAGTTACTGGTGTTTTGTGCTATGACAGTTTCGCGCTATCTAGCGGCAAGTTTAAGCGCACAGCTGCTTCCTAAGAACAAGTCAGCAAAACAAAGATTACTTGCACGGTAACACATTAAATGCAGAATTTACACATATTATGCCATGCAAAAGAATGTCTCAATATTAATCTTTATTCTTCTTAAACTCCTCACCTATTTCGTTCGTATTCTATTGTGCCGTAAGTCCAAACCAAACCCATATGAAACTCCATAAAATGGAATAACAAGTATTTTGACTTTGCAAAAAATTCTCTTCTACTTGGTTGGAGTCCACTACCGGTTTCATGCTGAGATCTATATCAGCCGGGCGCGCTAATGATAAGAGATACATGACAATAGTTGTAAATTTATTGGGTACCAAACAAGTGAGGAAATATGCAAGAAAGTCCTCAATAGGGTTTCAAAAAACTATTGGAGGTTCCGTCATGTACCAGGAAGTAATTCCCTCAGGTTCTTGGGATGATGTCTCCCCATCTTCAGTTAGTTGAGGTTGCAAAACTACAGTTGATTCTCTCCGAACGACCCTTCAGTAAATTTAGGACTACCGTGTTGCGGTTTTCGGGCACCGAGTTTCTTCTTCTGTTCGATGTCGACCTCTAAGCGAGCATCCATGCCCCGCATCTCTCAACTTGGGCCTTCTGCGCTTCCGTGCATTTACGCACCCGCCGGCAACTTGCTTCAAATTTTGTCTGTCTGTCAAGTTATATACTTGTGAATTCTTACTAAAGACCAATTGCCAAGTGAGACCATCGTACTTACTCATTAAACATTCAAGCGCTTGTGAATGTGATCTAAAATCAACCCTCTGTGATCCCGACCTTCACTGGCACATGAAGTGTCGACTGAAGAAGGGGGGGGTGCCTTGAGTGAGTATTCTTCACTCGGTAGGTGGATAGGTGTCCACTTGGCCGACTAGGTCGAGTGTGGACCTATAACGAAATTTTTTGGGAAAGATTCTTAATTCTGATCTTTCCTTCCCTTTCCTTGAGGTGTTAATCGCCTGGCCTTTACTTGCTCCCAGACGACTAGGGTAGGGAGACCGCTTCCGATAGCGGGTTAATTTGGGGGGTGCTACTCAGACAAACCCACAGGCCGAATATATCCTGGGGCTCTATTTGCACTTGGATCTTACCACACAACTGTCTTCGACGGAAGACTAAAATGTATCCCTTCCCGGAACAGGTGGGTAGACTTAGTAAATGCCTTGGAGGCACGACGGAGGCGTAATATGTAGATCGCAAAAATTGAGTTGTCATTGATATTGTCCTATCTTTTAACTTCTATGCTCTATCTTTACCCCCAAGACCTGAATCTTGATTCTGCTTTCCGAGAAGCCAAGAGGCCGGGAGGTCCAGGGGCCGAGAGACCGTGGTCCATTGATGCTGGACCAAGATCGACCATTGGGGACAGGGGCCTGGTACACCGATCGAAGGGCCAAGGTCTACCATTGTGGAAAACCGAGGTTAGCCTACTTTGGAAGACCGGTGTCCACCTCGAGGAACCGCGGTCTATCAGACTAACCGCAATTAACTCGTCTGAATGGACCACGCTTAAACCGTACATTCTACTCATCCAACGGTCGTTCCCCGTCCCTTTTTTTAGCGCCCCGTCTCTCTGTCCCTTACATAACGGTTTCTCCTCTTTAGTAAGTCCCTTTCTCTTTGATCCACCGGTCCTCTGGCTTACCAATTCTTGAAACGCTTTATTACAGCCGCCCTTTGCACTTAATCAATGGTACAGTCGCTTAAACACGCGCATGTCCTCGAATACTCCGTCCTGCAAGTACTTCTTGTTTGTTTGGCTGTTTGTTATACGTTGTCTGACTTATTGCACCTCAGTTGTTCCTTTCTCTCAGGCAGACCCAACGGCCGAGGGGCCGGTCTTGGGTACTCTTGCACTTGTCGCTGACCCAACAGCCCAGGTTCCCTCCCAAACGCCGATCGACACTCCCCGCCAGGTGCCCGGGCCAAGGGAGTCCACAGCGGTTCCTTTTGAGGTCGTAGGTGATGAGGGTGTCCCCAGATGTGGATGACCCTCAGTAGACCTCTAGCTCTTCTGCTATGGTGAACCTCGTGGAGGCGGTCACCTATGTCTCGCCCGTTGTTCCGTCGAGTGCTCCTCCGGCTGCGATGAGTGGTGCCGTAGACACACCTCATGTGCTGCGCGACCTACAAGACCGTCTAGACGCGTACAGCCGAACACTTGAGGCGTGAGATGGTCGACCTACCGCCTTCCTCGCCCCCGACGCCTACTGGACCACCTGGTATAAGATCCTCGAAAGAGAGCTGCAAGACACCACCCACCTCGTGATTTAGTTGCGCAAAGAACGTTTAGCAAGATAGATTGCTGACGGAGCATTTGCAGTGGCGGATGGACTACCGCCAGAGACGCTACGCTCTCATGATGGCGGACGAGGATTGCCGCACGAACCCATTCAAGGATTTCGTAGCCTTCCCGTGACTGCTCCCGCAGTGCCTTCCACATCGGTGACGGGTAAGCGACCTCGGCGTCCATCGGCCAAGACGACCGCTAAGGTCCCCAAGGCTGCCAAGTCAAGTACCCCCAGCACTCCCGCTTCGTCGGCGCCTAAGTCGGGGACCCCCCAGGTTCTATCTTTGGTACCCTCTCCGGACACGGATGATGACACCGCAAGTGACGACAGCGAGGTGGTCCAGGCGACCTTGGCTCGATCGCGGTTTTCCCGGCGTCGTACCACGCCTACCGACCCGCCGCTCCAAGCTGTCTCGGCCGGCTCTGTCTCCCGACCGGTCGCTCACCCACGTCCAGAGTTATTCCGCGCCATGTTTGGATCTTTGGACTTCGAGGTCAAGTCGGTCTCGAAAGAGAAGGCTCCTGCCCCAGTCATTAAGGTGGGCTCCTCCCCAGGTGAGTCACCCAAACTTCCGAAGGGTGACTTCATTCCTGGGTATATGCAGGTAAAGTTATTCACTGCAGCGGAGGTGGCGCCTCGGTCGGTCGACATGGTCAACTCGTTGAGTGTCGTGACGATGACCCCTAGCGACTTGGTAGACGTCTGGAGTTGCCTTGGGGATGGTTTGGTCCACCAAACGGGAAGTTTGATCGACTTTCCAAAAGGAAGTCGTCGTTGTTTAGCTCCTCGATGCTTCAAAACCTCTTGGTCGACCGCCCATGGGTGTCAGCTTCAGTATCGACCCCCCCCTCGTATCCTTCCAACCAGTGGGCTGCTTCGCGGAACTGGAGGGTTACTTACTTGCGCTTTGACGAAGACCACAGCCAAGCAATCGGAGAGGCTACTCACTGCTGATGGATCTCCAAAGATCAAGCGCGCTCCAGCTCTTTCCTTTCATCGTACAACAACGTACGGAAGAAACGACGAGGTCGTGCAATTCGGGCGTGGCGAGGGGTCGTCGACCTACTCTTCTAGGGGATGAGTGACGTTCTGTGCGACCTCGACATCCTGCGCGACCCCTTCTTCCGGCACCTTCCTCGACCTCGCTGTGTAGTATACTGTTTCTTAGGGTGCGAGAAAGGGTCGGATCCCGCCGACCTGCTGGACGTCGTGAGGGTCTCCGACTCCACTTACCCATGAATCTCCCAGTACCGACTTTCGTCCGAGCCCCATCCTGGGTACTAGGTGCCACGTCTCCGGAACAAGTTCGTCCCTACACCGTAAGCGTTTCCATTATAAACTTGCCCCCATCTTTTCCCAGTATTTATCTTGAATATCTGCTTCCCTTCTTCCTTCCAACCTTACGCCACTTTGCTTTCTTCACCACACTCCACACTAGAAACCAGGGTCTACCACGAAAGACTAAGGTCTATCAACGAGGTATTAGGGTCAACCTCGAAAGACCGGGGTCTACCTTGAACGACCAAGGTCTACTAATGATGGACCAGGGTCAACCTCGGAAGACCAAAGTCTACTACCGAGGGACCGAGATCTACCCACTATAAACTCTGTTTGACCATCCAAAGACCTCGGCTTTTGCAACTAGCCCTCATGATTTTGCATCGCTTCAAAGCGATTACTCCTAGTCTTCTTGCGCTTAAAATCCCGAGGTAAGGTTTCACAATTTAAATTCAGATTATCCATCCACGAGAGGTCCTTATACCCTTTCCATCGGATATGGAGCTCTCGTTGTTGTCCTTTAACGAGTTTCCTTTCCACTGCGGGCTTTCAAAATCTCCTCGACCTCGTATTCTCCGTCTTCCAGCTCTCTTACTTAACTGTCCTCCGGCAACAGACCCGATCTATTTCTTCCGTGTCTAGCGCGGCACTCGGTCGGTCGGGAAACTCTCTAAACCTCTTGAGTTTGGATAGTTGTACCATGGTCCGAGGCCCGGTGCCCAAGGTAGTCTACCTTCCGGCATCCCCAAAGCTCTTGACCGCGATGATCGATAGATTTTTAAAGTTACAATCAACCGCTCTACCTTTTCGCACAACATATCACACGAGTCGGCCGGTATTAAAATGTCATCTATGTAAGATGGCCAACCCAGTACCTAGGGACCCGACTTAACATCAGGCTTACCCATCGTAAACAGGTCTTCGGTCTCCTCTGTAACAGCTCCTTGAGAGATAAGTAAAAAAACCATTCAAAGCATTATCTAAGAGTCTCTGATGTATCTATGGCGCATTCTTGAGTCCAAATGGCATTTGTAGCCATTCAAATAACCCCAATGGAGTGACAAAAACTGAGATTCTTCTCGCCCGTCCGGTCATGCCGACGATCTAAAAACCACTTGACATATTCAGGGAGCAGTTACACAATGCTCCGTTCAGATCCTTCAACGATTCGTTGATTAGAGCATGGAGTAGACCATAAGCTGGGTCAAGGTCATTCACCAACCGATAATCAATACAAAGCCTGA